AATATCCATTTTTTTCTGGGGAACTTTCATATGAGTGCTTTTAATCCACTATAAAGGTTATCATCAAACCATTTGTGACCAAGGGGAAAAAGAAAAAGGAAAAGAAACTAACAAGATCACACAGCAGCAAACGGAAAATGAGTATCTTCATAAGAGTTTTAAGTATATACTTTAAACCAGTCGATGTACCTAAGTTAAACAAGTAGGCATCATACAGAAGACACCTTCTCGGAAGAAAGTAAACGCCAGATAGACGGAATTTACAAGTTTCACTAGGACGTATTTACACGAGCAGTTTGACTGCATTTTTAGAACGATCCGAATGTATTCTCTCCACTGTAAGTCATGTAGAGGAAGCCATCCTCATCTTTGTGTTCCTCATAAATCGCAGACATCATGGCAGCTGTAAAACGACGGAAACCAGACTGATTAAAAACGAAGAAATTTGGAAACGCATAATGACAATTGTGCCAAAATATTGCTCACCTGTCGGAGGAAGGATATTTTTCACAAAGATAAAAATAGCCTTCTCAGCACTAAGCTTTATCCTCTTACGAACAACATACACAAATTGCCCCACAGTCAGATCAGCAGGAACCAAGTATCTGCAATAATTATGATTAACAGACATTTCAAAAAGGAAAATATCATAAAGATAAATGTAAAAGAGCTAGACGCTAACTCAACACTGTTAACAGGAGAATGCAGATGGAAATTAAAACGGAGAGATCCCACGTTTATGGAAGTTTGAACCAATGTCTTCAATTGCTGCATATCACTATCAAATGAAGAAAACAAAATAAAGAAATCCTTGCACTTCAATTATACACTTTAGAACAGACAATCACACCCTACGTTGCTCGGACTCTCTGAAAATGTCGCCTGATGTGTGTCGGATACTCCAAAAGTAGTGCATTTTTGGACGACCCGACTCGGGTGCGGCAACATTTTGGAGAGTCAGCAACATAGATCACACCTATCTTGTGCTCTAATCAATCTCATTGCTAGTGCACATTAGTCATCTTTCAACTCGAACAGTAAACACTACATCTTACAATCTTGTACCCATGAAAATACTTACGAGAATCCGTTTATTCTTTAGAAAGACGTATAAGAAATTTACATGAATCACGTCATAGTTCATAAAGGTGCAGTAGCCACCCCAACACTAGCTCAAGAAAATTAAAAACTCATTATCGAACAAAACCATCTTTAGCAACATTGACGATAACCAATGTGAATATAATATTGGACCAAGCATAGATCACTATCAAGATTACTAACTTCTTCTTGTCAATGTCAGGAATGTCACTTCTTTCAGCCTTCTCCACAATAACCTAAATTCCAGGAAGAGAACAATGAAAAGCAGATTTAACAAGGCATATAAAATGTCTAGCTTTAAAAAAAAAAAAGCATCACTGCGAGAGAATAGACAAAATTGCATTGGTACCGGTATTCTATCAGGATACTTCTCCCTGATACGAGCAGCTTCGGCCTGTCGCCTTTCTGGAACAGTACAACACAGAATTAATAAGACAGATAGATAATGTTAGACAAAAGGAAAGACAAATGTTTACATAGGCAATGTCTATAATTTTTTGATAAGGTAGGCGATGGCTATAATGAATTTTAAAAAAGAAGCCACAAAATTTTGAAGTACGAGAGAATACAGACAGGTAATGACAGCAATATTTTAGCAGATTATCAAGCGATTAACGTACTGTGATATGAGCCAAGTACTTCTACAAGATTGAGGGCACTGACTCGTTACAAAAATGATATTTTTCCTGTTAATTCTGCATGCCACTTTTCGCCATTTAATTCCTTTGTATAAGTACTACTTTGCCGCTTGCATCAAAATTTTCACAAATCTTTGAGGGGTCGTTTGGTTTGAAGAGAAGTTATGCTGGGATAGTTATCCCGGTATTATTTTTTATTGATTGTTTGGTATGTTGTATTAATACTGGAATTCTCAATTTTACCGAGGATAACTTATCCGGAGATTACCATTTCACCCTCTAGCAGGTAAAAATTATCTCAGTACTATTTTTAATCCTAGGATAACTTACCCTAGGATTAGTAACCAAACAAGGGATAAGGCGGTACTAAATTTTATCCCAAGAGTATTTTTGCTTATCCATCATACCAAACTTCCCCTTGAAAGTGCAATAATAGCCACGCTTCCACACAAAAGACACACAAACAGTAGCAGTCCAACAGAAGCTTATAAAATAAACAAACTTATAATTATATAGCCATGTAAAAAAGAGCCTCAGTACACTAAGCTCTCAGTATGCGCCGGGTCCGGAAAGGGCCGGACCACAAAGATATATTATACACAGTCTTACCCTTCATTTCTGCAAGAATTCCAACTCTCAATTGNAAACCCCCTTAAAAAAAACCCCAAAAATAAGAATAATTATTAGTAGATCAAACAAATTATTGAACCAAACAAGTTAAAGATCGGATCTTGGAACCAAAAATACAATAATAATAATAATACCAAGTGGGTGTTCCAATTTGAAGGAGCTTTTGGCCATGGTGATGAGTGAGTGGTCCTAGTAAATTAGGTTAGCTCTGCAATTAACAGATATAAAAGGAAATTAGGGTTTTGCCGAAAAAGGGAAAAGAAAGGAACTTCAAAGAGAGGAAGATGAAAGGATCTTACCGAGGAAATTCGTCAATTGTGAAGGTTGAACAAACAAAACTCTTATCAAATGTCACTTTATGCTACGGTGCCGTTTTGAACTAGTATTCCTTTTAGCATATTTTATGTGACATTTTTTGTGTAGGAAATTTAAACTTCCTTTAACTTTTCGAAATAAAATTTATATATTTAAAAACTACGTAAAAAATATTATAAGTTACAATAATTAATAATTTAAATATTTAAAAGGTATATAAAAAAATTTATGGTCAAAAAATAATTTGTTTGATTTTATTTTTAAGTCAAACAACTTCATATAAATTAGGACGAAGCGAGAATTTTTTTTCCCTTTGTCTATTTTTGTCTCTTTTGTTATGTNCATTTTTATATAAATAATATAATGATGTATATGTATGGATTATTATTGCAAAATATGTCATTTTAGCCTAAGGAAGCAAAGAAGATATATATATATATATATATATATATATATATATATATGTGAACCGTAACAAGAAACGAGCGAATTCATTGAATGGCGGCTTCTCTTCTTTATTTATTTATTTTATTTTATTTTTCACTCGGTATTCAAAACTTGTATTAAAATCCAACATAAAATCCACCCAAATTGAAAATTATTTCCCTTATCCTAAGTTATGAAATTATTCTTTCTTTTCTCTACTTTATTTAAATTAATAAATGGTTCTATCATCATGCTGAAGAATTTGTCTAGCTAGTTTACCACACTAAAAATTGCATGTAATGTTGACTATATATTGTATAACCTTTTCAACAATCAGCAAACATTGTAATTTACGTTAAAGTAATTCATATAATTTCTTATAATTAACATCTTAAGATTACAAGTCAAATAAATATAATAAATGATGTCATTTGCAAAAGCCTAAAGAACGTGCTATCACGTCATTTGTCTATATTGATAGAGTTATAAACACCTTTTTAAATTTTTTATTATTCTGAAAGTTTGTCTACATTGATAGAGTTAATTAGGGTGACTAGATTATTCTGGCTAAGCAAAAAGTCATTATCATCAGAGCTTCATCGAAGTCACCTTGAAAATTTGGTTTTATATTTGTAAACAAGGGTTAATGTATGATAAAAACTATGTTTAAGCTCAATACGATAATGTAAATTATGTCAAAAAAAAATACACGTGAATTGCAATTAATAGCCCTAATTAATAAGTAATGTATGACAATCATTAGTTTAAATGAAACTCTATTTTGATTGTATGCTCTTTTTTGTTTAACTTATCCGATATTCAAAATACACAGACTCTGACTCAATCGCAGAGTCACAATGAATTTCAGGTTTAATTGAATCCAGTTGATGAAGAATTATATTGCATATATAAAATTGGGCAAACGTAATTTTTTCCCCTTATTTATAGTATAAGCTAATGAGTTCCCTTGATATAGAGAAGGTTTTCATTGTTGTGACAAAATTTGTAGTTCAAAATTGCTTTTCATTGTTGGGACAAAATTTGTAGTTCAAAATTGCTTTTGGTTGTTGAGGTTTTGAATTCCTTTACTAAAATTCTTGGCTCCGCGCCTCACTAATTTAAATTCACGTTAGATAGGCCCACTAAAAAGTAAAGTACTTCCTAACAAGAATTTCTCTAACTCTCATTATATAAGACCGTCAAGCTTTTCTTTAATACAAAAATAAAAGACTAAAATAAACATGAAGTCTATTATTTAAGACATCTCTAGGACTAAAGTTAAAGTCTTTCTCTCTTCTTGATTGCTTACACATTTTCTCTCATTTGGCTCTCTGCTGAGAATCCCATTCATGTATAGACAGGACTAAAGTCTTTGTGATATATGCAGATATCAAATCTCAAGTAGTAAGCTAGCTCTTGCAAGTTCCAATTGAAGAAAAAAGTACATTTTTGGTAAGTAAGTCTTGCTTATATGCATAATCTATTATAGTGTCTATTTATCTGTAACAACTCAACCCCTTGTTTTGCTTGTTCGTATTCTAAATTGTGCGTTTGATATGTTTATATGCCTATTAGTCTCAGACTTGTTTTGTCTTTTTCTTTGATCGAGGGTCTATCGAAACAATATTTCTATCTCACACAAGGTAGGGGTAAGATTTGCGTACACACTACCCTCCACGAACCTCATTTGTCAGATTACACTGTGTGTGTTGTTGTCATTGTACGCCTATTTATGACTTGATGGTATTGTTTGAATTGAGACTCGAGGAGTTTAGACATCTTTTGGGAGAAAGAAAAAGGGATTCTATTTTTACATAATTTCTTTTTTTTTGAATTAATGCATATATGCAACTTGGTTGACTTGATTGAATTTTGTGTTTTTTTCAGAAGATGACTTCATCAAATGAAGGGACATATAATTTCAAGAATGAAGAATTTCAAGAAGAAGATATTTGGGGTACTAATAATAATAGTGTTATTGAAAAAAGCCAACTTAGTTCCAAGTTCATAACCAGTAAAGATCAGCCATTTACTTTGAATCAAAGGAGGCAAATACCAACTGCAGCCAAGATTATGATCCCAAAGTCAAACAAGAATTCAATTAAAGAATTTAAAATAGTTCAACACTCAGCCCCTGTGAAAATACCAGATTGGTCAAAAATTTATGGGACAAGTTTAAAGAAAGATATTGGTAATTTTGTGACAAATAATAGTTGGGAAAGTGATGATCAAGAAATTGAAGAAAATGATGAAGGAAATATAATGCCTCCACATGAATGGCTTGCTAAAAGATTAGGGAGAAGCCAAATTTCTTCATTTTCAGTGTGTGAAGGTGTTGGAAGAACATTGAAAGGCAGAGATCTAAGCAGGGTAAGAAATGCTGTTTTAACCAAAACTGGATTTCTTGAATAGCATATGAATTATCATCAATGCTCATTAGAGGGGGGAGGGGGGAGTTGAATTGGGTCCCACTTGAATCATGGTTGTGGTATTAAAAATCTTTCTTTTTAAAAAAAAAAAAATAACAAGTTACGTTATTTCTTTTCTATCTGTATGCAAATCTTGAAAATCCGTCGATATACATACTGGTGAAAGATGACAAGTAACGAGTGAAAATAATCTAGATCTGTATAAGCCGGCTGGAGGCTCAAAAATTGTAGTTCCTTTTTGTACATTTCTAATTTTTTTTTATTTTTTTTTACTTCACGAGGTAATCTTATAATTAAAGGGAACCAAGAAAAGAAAGACAAAATAGAAAGGAAAAAAAAACAAGCCTCATTGTGTGTGTATAATTATCTTGGTGGCTTTGTAATGTTGCTAGGAGAATAAAGATCCTTTTTATGGAGCAAGCAAGCAATGATTTTGAGTCATGTTCTTTATCATTGTGCACATGATTATGTAAAATTTTAATTTTGGAGTTAGGTCTCCCAATTTTATTTCTTTGCTGTCATAAGCAGCTAGTGGATGGTGAAATTATTTAAATATGATCAAGTACCTACCATGTAAATGCCTTTATATTTTTTAATGACGAGAGAACAAAAGTATACTATTAATCTTCATTCGGTTGGACGGGCGAAATGAGGCCACCCTAGTCCATTGAATATTCTAATTCGGGCAATCGACATCATACACCCTACTGAAATAGATTTTGCCGAAAATCAGCTATATCCAATCTAAACCTATTAATGCGCTAAATACATATAATTTTCTTATTCTCGAAACTCAAAGACACAAAATCTTGAATTAAAGATGTAGAGATCCTAATCATACCATCACAATTCACGACAGAACATGACAATATTTTCAAGAAAAAGTTTTGTGTTGTTATTCTTTTCTGGTGGCCAATTATTATAGATTATTTTAGAAAGCTCGTAGAAACAAGTTAGTATATGCTTTAGAATGGGGCAGGCAGAGATATGGCTATCCTGCAAACAGATGCGGACCTACACTATAGGTTGGGGGATCACCGGTATCCGAAAAATTTTACAAAAACTCTATATATATACTTACAAATGTATTTAAAAAATAGACAGATATTAGCATAGGCCCCGTATCAATTTTTATGAGCACTGATATATTTATATTAAATGTCATAGTGTCCCTGTGATCTCCGAATCCTGGGTCCGCCTCTGCCTGCAAATAGGCCATTGATTAACTATTTCTTCTTTTGGTTCATAATGCTTACAAATGCAAATATTATTGACCAATTGATTCATGTTAATTGAAGAGTAGACGTATTGGGTACGGATTCGAGTTCTGAGAATGAAAAAAATTGTTGAAGAACACTTTCCTTTTAATGAGTTTCACGGGGGATGAATTCACGTTAATAAGGCGAAAAGAAAGAGGTGAAGTAACATTTGATTGAGGTGGGGTTGGCCTTCTTTCAACAAACAAATCAAATACTTAAATCTTAACTGACTCAAACATAGACAAGGAAATAATCTTCTTTTGTAAAGTAAATTCTTGAAATTAATGTATTAATTTGTTGCAAATGTTCTATATCCAGTCTTAACTACTTTAATTATATCTAACATCAATTTGTTCATCTTATTTCTAGCCTTTTCTTTTCTTGAATAAGTGTGGTGGGAGGTGGGGTCGGAAATAGATTATTGAGTAAATTTTATGGATGGTTTTTTAACTTTGTGTTCATTATGCAAAATTTATTTTTCTTCTTTTGTTACGTAAAAATTATTTAACTTTGTGTTCATTACCTAAAAGTTATTTTTCTTTCTTTTGTTACAGAAAAATTATTTTACTTTGCTATATTTATCACAAAAGTCACCTTGACCAGATTTTATAATATTTTTACTTGAAAAGTCTATTATACCCTTGACATTATATATCCTCTCATTTATGTAATGTCTTCTATATTATATACTATATAATATATTTTTAACTAGGTAATTTACTTATAATTAAAATAACTTTAAATTATTTTATTTGTTATTTTTATAATATATCCATACATTTAATTTTTTTACGGAACTCAATTTGTTTAATCATATTTAAATATGAACATATTTTAAATCTAAAAACCATAAAAAATATTTATTTGAAATAATAACAAACAGATTTGTTTAACAAATGATAATTTTTTTTATAGTCAATACAAATTTTGAAAAAAAAATCAAAGATATTTGTATTTAATTTTAAGATTTTTAAAGCTTTATCTGTTAATATTATTTATTTGAAAGTATTAATCTGATGTGTCATTGTGCTAAATATAGGTATTTTATTTATTGGATTAATGTGTATGGCTTGGCTGATCATTAAAAATATTTCATTAAGCATGATTAAGAACGTGGACTTGAGATTTGTTCACGGTAATATTTACTGACAAATTTAATAATGCTACTTATATATCTTGAAAATTACCGTTACGTAAAATAAATAAAATAATATCAAGTTATTTTAATTATAAGTAAAATACCTGGGTAAAAGTATATTATGTAGCATAAAATATAGAAGGTATTACATAAATTGGATGATTTATAATATCAAGGGCATAATAGACTTTTCAGGTAAAAGATTTGTAAAATCTGGTCAAAGTGATTATTGTGATAACTAGAGCATAGACAAATGATTTTTGTGTAACAAAAGAAAGAAAAGTGATTTTTGGGTAATGAACATAAAGTTGAATGACTTTTACGTAACAAAAGAAAGAAAAGTGACTTTTAGGTAATGAACACAAAGTTGAGTGACCACCCATGAAATTTGGTATGCGTTCGGATAAATACAGTAGTTTTTTGTTAGATTTTATATTCAGTGGCAGAGCCACATGTATTCAAGTGGTGTCATCGACACTCCTTTATCGCAAAATTACATACACTGCGTAGTTAGGTAAATTTTTTTAAATGTATATATACTACATATTGACACTTATTACCTTCTTCATGGATTTACTTTTTTATATTTTGACCTCTTTTAGTAATAATTCCGGCTTCACGACTGTTTGTATTTGTATAGGTAATTCATTAGAAACATGTATAAATTTTAATTACAAATCTAATAATTAAGACGAATTATGAATATATCGGGAAGCTCAAAACTCATAAATTTTAAATCATCGTTCGGCTTCTAGCGAGAAGGGCAAGTCAACAATTACTTTAACATGAATAACAACAATGGAAGGAACAAAGAAAGAAACACGAGGCAGTGATATAACTCTAAATACTTCGAAAAATATTTAATTCCCAATACAAATCATATGCTGGCCAGTGGAATTCAGATTAAACATTGAGAATAGAAAGAGATGTTCCACCAACTTTCCTTTTTCTATTAAAATAAAATGATAGTATAAGATAAGCTTTTTATTTTGGCTCTTTGCATAAATTCCGAAATAGCCAGATTTATAATTGGTAATTAAAAAATAGTCACAGTTTCAAAAGTAATCGAATTTTTGCGTATATGATTCCAGCATAATGTGCTGGAATTTCATGATGTAATGTAATTCCAACATAATATGTTGGAAGTTTATGCGCTGGGGCTCCATAATCCAAATCAACAATGCTGGAAATTTTCATGTTTCAGCAAAATATTGGCTATTTTTTAATGACTTTGCAAACGCTGACTATTTTTCAATTATCATCACGAATTAACTAGCCCATGCTATTTTCACTAACAACAATGTCAAATAAAAACTCATTAATATCGCAATGCAAATCTCTCTAAGTACAATTTTAGTGGTCGTTTGGCTAAGAAATAAATTATGCAGAAATTATAATACATGGATTAAAAATGTAAAAAATATTTTTTCAAGAATTTTTTTTCTGTAATAAAAATGGGATATATACGATTAAAATTTAAAACATGAGTTTATTTTTTAAACTTAACAAGCTTAATCCATGTACTGGCGGTATGAAATGATACACCAATTGGGGCATTAAATTATCTCAAAATCAGTTATGCATGACTCAAAATAGCAACCAAATACTGAGTAAAACAACATTTAATTTTATATCACGATTATTTTATCCAATTCATCAAATTAAACGAATCCTTTGTACTTAATAGCAGTCTCTAATCCTTGTTAATTAGTAAATAGAGTATCATATTTTAGAGTTTAATCTCTTTTTGTACGTTGATAGTGTATTTTTTACTCAATCAATTTACTTGAAAGATAATTTCCAGTAATTATTCTTACAAGTGTCGTTAATAACTGGTAATTTAGACAAATAGATTATTCCAGTTGGTTAAATTATATTGGCGGCCATGTAAAATTTATTTTTATACTGTGAATGAATATAATTTAAAAGAGTTAATAAAGAAGGTAACTTGCAAGATATGAAGCAATAATAGATCACAACCGTCCGCTAATGAGCTCTCCTACTTGGATTAGGACAAACTTAATCGTAAATTATAATTAGTATAAAGGAAAAATATATAAAGAGACATTTAAAATTGGCCTCAGTTGTCAGTTGGACATTTAAACTTATCAAATAACTAGAGAATTTGTCCGCACTTCGCGTGGTTGCAATAAGTGTCATTGAACAAAATAATTATTATAAATCAATCCAGATATAAGAGATAATTGTTTTTTATTTAAATGCGTATAAGAAATTATTCTATGTATTGATTAAGTTACAAAAAAAATAATATTCTTATTAAAAGTTGAGCTTAATGAATCCATCTTCCTATCAGATTTTTTAATAAGAATTTTAAGGAGACTTGTAGTTTGTATGGGGCAGTGTTGTGCGCATATGGTTTTAATACTTGATTTTTAATATACATGAATGTGTACTTAGATATGCATTTGATTTTTTTTTCTTTTCACTAAATAGTAAAATTGTTTACCCTTAAAATTGGACAACAATTAAACTTATAATGTGGTTCTAAGGACACGTGATTTCACTTAATACCAATTGATAAGTACGAAGATTAATAACAGAAATAAACTATAAAGTAAAGCAAAC